GCCTATATAGTCATTTCCCCACTAGATATTATGGGCTCTGGACCCAGCAGTTCAATGTGTTCAGAACACACTTTTCCAACTAGTGATGAACCCCCACCCCTGGAAAAACCAATATAGTTAAGCACTATCTCAGCCTCTGAAATGGGAACTGAAAGCCCTGTTTTCCAGAGAGCCTTGATGTGAACAGAACATTTTCGCACAATGACTGAGAAGAACAAAGACAATATGAAACTAAAAACAAAGTCAGTAATCAAAACACATCTTCACATATTTAACACTTAAAACATGAAGGTAGAAGAAGAACTGCAAGAAAAATACGTTTACGCCTCTCTCTTGTGTGAATACTTCTGTTGAAAGATTGAGTATGTGAACAGGATTTTTTTTTAAATCAGGAGAGAGGCCAGTGATAAAGGCCTGTGCCTGTCAGTTGTCCCTTATTTCCTCCTGCAGCTGGTAATGGCAGTGACAGCATCAGCAACAAAAGTCACACCTCACAAACATACATAAATACTTATTTGAATAAACGTTTCCCATACACTTACACAGACGATAAAACCCACAAAATGTACCGTACGCCATGCAGAAGGAAAAGGAAAAACTCAAATATACAGAGAGAAAAGAAAATTGTATTGAACATGACAACAATTTTTTTTTCTTCTATTAATCAAAGATCCTTAACTGTCCCTTCAGGTAAGGTGGCCTGACAGATAAAATGTCTTCAGGGTTCAAGGTCAAAGAGCTAAAACAACACCAGTCTGCCCACAGGTGCACAACACAAGATTCTCATATGAGCCTTTGGGGGTCAAATCAACATCTAAGGCTTAGGAACAAGATACAGATGAAACTGCAAACAATTCCAAATGCGAAAGAAAACAAAGTCATATGTGAGAATATTATGATAATCAAAACTCGTGAAAAAACTTGCACTGAACGTTATTTGAAGTATTTGAAAGGAGAAATTTGGATCAGTCACAGTGGCCCATTGCAATAAAGTTAATCAGGGGTCAATTTTAGTTAATCTCTTAATCTGCTTATAATCATATAAATCTACTGAGTTTCACTGACATTACTATAAGTATATAAAAATAATGGTTCTCATGCCAAAAGAAGGAATGTCGTTGTACCTGCCTTTGAAGCTAAACCTAAAAATACTCGTAGCAAAGAAATAATAGGATTTAATCATTTGTTATTCTTAAGAAGCACAATAAAAAAAAATTTTTTAAAATATATATTGACTACAATCCATGCTTACCAAAATGCACATGTTCTCAAGAAAAATGATTTTCAATTTTTGTGGTGCGATTGCTTTAGTTCCAGGAAAAGTTTTTTAATGTATTCATTTTCCAGTTCTTTTGAATACTGTCACTATAGTCACTTGTCCCCAAAATCTACCAGCACTGCTGTATTTGCTCACTGAGAATCAAACTCATAAGGTGATGACAGGCCCATCATACATATATGCATAAAAAAGTGACTGTAAATTACAAGAAGGATGCTATATCAAAATGTTCATTAAAAAAAATTCTCACACGTTATTTGAAAACTGCACACTTACAGTAACTACAGACTTAACAGCAATAGAGCTTCCTTCTCTTTACCCGTGTAATAGATTTCTTTTTTTAAACGATAGTCTTCTTCGAAAACAGTGGCAGCAGTACACACTCAGACACCTGAACACTTATGTATGTCCCCCAGTCACACTGGTTATTTGGGTCACATTGGTCACTTGGGGGAACTGTTAGGTCCACAGAGACTGCAAGACCATACCACAGTTCTCCACTCGGTACACATGTCTACATCACAGGAGGTCAGCTGATGAGTTCCAGACAGTGCCAGCAATTGACCCTTAGCCTTAAGGCTCAAAGTTCACATTTTCATCTTATTCCATGAGTACCTATTGACGCCCCATATTCAATGTAGAAAGCCACAAGACCAAATAATCCCCACCTAGAATGAATGTTACAAATAAGTATTGTTAATATGAGCTGGGAGAGATGGCAAAAATAGATGAGATGTAAAAGTTACCTTTAGACTTACAAAAGTCACACGGCCTTGAAAAGAGACAGGTCTATTGGTTTTTGTACAGGCATTCCATTGCATGTAATCTTTATCACAGCATATTATTAATAATGATGGCAGAGACAATCACAGTATCACACGGAACAAGCAAACGAATACCAGTAGCCATTTCATATTTGCTAGGATATTAAACAAACCACAACATAAAATGCATTTTCACTGTGACATGTTTGTCATTTTCATCTTAAATTTTATACATATATATTCCAATAACAGCAAAAGATAATTATGACATAAAAAAATGTAAAACAAAACTCCACAATTCACATTGTCCTGTATTCTAATCTATTCTAATAATGGCAAAAATAGAAAAGGCAAAAGGTGCCACAAGCACCTGGTAGTAAATTTTTTTACATTTCAAACTTAATTTCAACTTAGATTAGAAATTTATAGAAACAGTAAAACTCATGATGTTTCCACTTCAACAATTAACTAAAAAAAATAATGTAAAAACTATGAACCTTGAATGTGCTAAAACCATTTTTAAGGATTGAAAACCCAAGCCCCCACCACAATGTACTGTACCGGCACCCTTCCACACATCTCAGCAGGTGTCCCTCAGGAGCTCAGAGGCATGGGTCCCGGATAGGCTCAGGGGTCTAGGTGAAAAGGGCCAAAAATAAACTTAAGTACTGCAGAAAGATTCAATCTGTTGGAAAAACAAAATCAAAACTGGTCCCAGAAAAATACAACTTCCAACCACGAGGGAGACAATCAGTAGTTATAAAACCTCAAAATGAAATCTCAATGTGTGCCTATAGAAAGGTACCAAAAGTCGGATTTCGACCATTTTGAGTTGAGGGTTGTACATCATAGCAAAGTCAACGCTGAATACAGTGGTTTTTGAATTTTTGAGATGGCATTACTATTAGTGAGGTAGGGTATAAAGATCTAATTTTGAGAAAATTAACGTTAAAGTTTAGGACACACACAGACTTTACCAAAAAAAAAAGATTCAATTGTTTTTAACGTATTTATTTAAGGAAAATTCATTTCCTATTTGGCATTCAGTTGACATCTGGTTAGAATTCAATGGTAAAACATAGCGGGGAAGAGAAAACATGCGTCAAGAATAGATTTTAACACCATCTAAAAGCAGTCTTCATTATCTCTTTAAAAATACCCTAGTCTCAAAATTATTCAAAATAAAATAAGATGTCAAATCAACGAAAACCCTTTTTAACACATTGTAAAAAAATGGTGGAACTATCATTTTTTTAGGGAAACACATTTTGGTCCAAAGAGTTTTTTTTTGGTCTTTATCAGCCTGCAGTTCAACAAGGTCTGTGGCAACTTTTGGTACCTTTCTTTAGGCACCCACACATCTTCTCAGTTCATGAGAGAAGAAGGTTGAAGATTCTTTGACAATAACAACATCTTCAGAAAGGGCAAGCACACATGGAAGAAACAGATATCAATAATAAAGTACCGTACGCTTAAAGTAATACAGACATGATGAAAAGGAAATGTTTTCAAGACGGGTTACAACGTACTTTATGAGAGCATTGTATGAACAGAAAAAAAACACTACTACTTACTCATGAAATGGCATATATATAAACAGTTTTTGGGGGGGTTAAAAATACATTCCGATAAGACTGAGCTACCAACAAAACAAACAAATGAAAGGCAATACTAGAAGGGACAGGTGTCATCCATGCTTGACTCTGTCCACAGCAATGTAGTAGGCTGTCTTATCCAGGACAGAGTGCCACCCAATAGGTCCAATCTCACAATCAGCACATATCAAATATTTAATGTTGTCCACCTTTGAAAAAAACAAAACCATAAAAAAAAAGTTAACATACAAACCTGGTACATGGTATTAAATCTATCAAACAAAGTATTTTAGTAGAGGTTTTACGGCACTCGCAACCGCATAAAAGGTCATATAAGCGCCAGAAGATTAGAGGTGTTACAAGAGAGTAACAAACATAAAAAAGAAGAAGGGGGAGATAAGGACGATAGATGTCTGATAGGAAAGAAGAAGCAAACCACACTAGAGCACCCACCAACCACACACAAACAAAGTATAAAGGGTAGACCATTACTTTACAACAAGTATGCAACGTAGAGGCCACATTTCACCAGAACCTCAATATTAGAGTAGCTGCAAAACTAACAAAACAAAGAAGATAACATCCGCGAACCCATAGCTACTTGTTTTCCCATTTTCCTTGCCCTCTGGCAACTGACATCATTTATTGTGCATACATTACTAAGAATATAGAGTCAGCAGAAAAGTGCTCTAGGGAACAGTTGAGTACAGATAACTTGTTCGCAGACAGCTCGAACAATAAGCCATTGCCCGACTGAACCACTATATATATATTCTTAGTACAGGCAGCACTGCATTCTCAAACTAAAACAACCACATCGATGAGTAGAACAGCTCATCTCAAAAAGCCCGATGGAATTTTTCCTCACACTTGCTTAAATCACCCAGTACGCACGATGGAAAATAACACATCCATTATCATTGAGAGTATCAGACTGGTTGCATGAGCCCACAAGGCTCGCCCCAGCGCAGTGTGATACACCTGTAGTGTGCATAAGATGTCAGTTTAGTTTTAGGAAGATTTTACGGCACTTGCAACACAATAAGATCATACAAGTGCCGAAGAATAGAGGTGTCACAAGAGAGTTACATACACAAAAAAGGAGGAGAGATAAGGACGATAGATGTTTCATAGGAAAGAAGGAGCAAACCGTACAAGAACACCCACCAACCACCCACGTAAGACGTTTGAACCTCCTTGAATCCTTTCATGTGAAGGTGGGTGCTGGGTGGTGGGGTGTGATCGAAGACAGACAGTGTGGTGCTGCATTGAATTGGGTTGTGTGGTGGTTTTTTTTTTTTTTTTTGTTAGAATGCAAGGTATGGATCAGGAAATGATGACTCAAGAGGGGTAGTTTGTCATGCTCTGACTAGTGTTGGTAACATGGTCATGATTGTGATCTGAGTTGAAAAGTTCATCAGCACTGTTCTCTTCTCACGAACACAACTGTCAACCTCTGACATGTTTGAGATATCTGCACTCAACTGTACCTAGATATTTTATACCAAATAAATAACTCTGCTTTATGACAACTTAAGGCTACCATTGAAAAAACCTGTAAAAACATATAAACCTTGTTGTAAATAACCCCCCACTCTGTACTGCCAGCCCCAATTACCGCCAGGTTTTGCCAGTGTAAGAAAAGGAAAAGAAAGGCCTATACAAACATAGTATTTGCAACTTCCCACCACCATCCACAAACTTATTTGAATTGTGCGGTCCTTATTAAACTAATTGTAAATTTGTCCCGATATACCACCAGCAAACTGGCTGCCAGAGGTACACTATACTCAGTACATGGCACCCTGATTATGGAAATGCTATCAGTTTTCTGCTTTGCCAATTATCTAAAAAGAAATTGGAAAAAACATTTTAAAGTCGCATGGAGAAAGTTTAAAGGAACTGCACCATTTCTGCCAGTCGCCCAAATATCTGGCGTTGCCAGTCGTCAGCCCGACGATTAAAAGGCTGGTGGGCGTCTATAAACAGACTACATAGTGAGGACTCACGCTCAAGTCTATGTGAAAGGTTATTGGTGGCCTGAAGACTGTACATCTACAGGGTTCTTGACACATTATAGTTCAGATTCTGATCTGGCAGACATTTTCAATAGTAATTTACCTAAAGTTAAGATGGAGCTGCACATGTAGTAATTGGTAGCAACTCATTCTTTCCCTTGAGTATGGTTATTACGGAAGACAGACAGATGATTCAAGAGTGCCCACAGTTTATCTCTATAGTCTCTACCAGTCTACCACTGGTCAAGACGGCAATTGGAGCTATCCCGTTATACTACCAGCCCCGCTGTGCCGCAAGCTTCATGCTTGTACAAAGGCAGACGGTATAATGGGGTTTGAATGTAATTTGAAGATCATGAAGTGTTGGTACTAACCTATCCCCTGAATAGGGGGAACCAACCCGAGAGAATAAACAACAACCCAGAAGCTTTCATTTGTTAATGTTATGAAAACCAGAAATCAAACCAGCATTTTAGACAAGAAAGGAAAGCATTGTGCATTTAACACTACTAACTGAGGATAATTATCGCACTGCTGCAATTTTCCCAAATCAGCAACTGAGGACAATCATCACAAACCAGCCATCCCACATTCAAGACTTTTTTGGTAACAAAACTTAGAGGCTACATCCGGCTCTCTTGCAAAAAAGAGACTTTTAAATAAATTTTTACTGACGCATACGAGGTACAGTTATTTTCTTTATTTCAGTGATTATAGAAAACAAACTTACAGCAAAACACTAACTCTATTGAGTAACTGATTTCTAAAATGAGCTCAATTGGAAAAATTTTCAATGCGTTTGAGGCAAAAGATAATATAATATTAGCGTCTGAATTTATCTCAGAAGTTTATAATTCAGATAAAAATAAAGAATATATATATCATGCCATCCAAGCGAGAGAGAGAAGCAGATATACATCCATATGAAGCACAATAAAATGTTCTGTTGTCTCAATTTTTAGCCTGATTCTCCTCATTAGGTAAACAAGAAACCTGTTACAGATATTTAGCTATTCACCCATGGCCAAGCAATAAAGTATACAAAATTGTTCCATGTCCAACAAAACAATGACTGCCAAAATTAAATTGTAAAGAGAGGTGACTCAGGCTGTCATTCGAGACAATTGTATGCAATAATCTTTCCACATTTCCATAACAGGAAACGAATTGTTATAAAAAGTTATTTATTACTTGAAGATACAACATAAGATTTACTATAAAACACCACTTACAGTTTTTGAGAATCCCACGTTGTCAAATGTCATCATGTCTGACACATGCCAGTAATCTGTTAGTGTAACACCTTCCAATGGCGCTCGTTCATTCTTTTGAAACATATTTGGAAGGAAAAACTGAAAGTAAAATGATTTGTAGTAAAACATGAATTATAACTTTCTTTGATGACAATAAAAAAAAGAGTGCTTTGGTATCATCACTGCCAGACTTCAAAGAATACAACAATGTCAGTGAACCAAAGACGAGCAATATAATATACAGTCGAACCTGCTCCAACAGCCACCTGTATAGACCAATAACTTGTACACACAACCACGTCCCACTTGAATCTTTTTCTTCCTTATAATTATTTTACTGTCCAAAATGCCCACCTAAGACAACCACTTGTCACCTTGACAACCATGTTGTGTGGCCGACTTGGACAACTTCAACTGCATATATACGTGTCACAATGCTATGGAATCAGGCGCTCGTCAATTTTTGGGCATGTGGAGTTATTAGTATCATCTGAAAGCTTATTCATTTGTCCTGCTTTTGAGAAAAATAATACCCATCTATCCAGAATAGGAGTTGAGATATTTGAAATTGAAGGAGGTGAGGGTCGCCTGGTTTCAGAGGTAAATTAGCGAGAAAACGGCCACCAAAGATAGGTAATTTCAATAGCTTGAGAGTCCTTGAAAACTGGAAATTTACACATTTTGCACCTATCATGTGTTTTCCAGTAAAATTCACTTGGTGTTTTTATGTGGACATAAAAAGTGTTAAAAGCCAATACAAAAATTCGATAAAATTTTTTCACTGACAACAGATGACCACCTTACGCAAAGGCGATCCGACAGTCCACGAGTATGGGCACCAGTCTAGGAAGTTTGAGCACAAAACTGAAAGACGAAAGCGATGGTCAGGTATGTGTAAGCTAGCCCAGCCGTACTTATTCTTAATATGATGGCTAGACTGACCATAAAAAAAGGTCTACTGAATTGTAAATAAATTTTTAGTTTGCAGTAACCTAAAGCATTTGTATTTGAGACGAAACCAGGTGCCTTAATGACAGTGCATGTATTTTATACCTCCTGTTTTCTAATGTTAATAGGGCCTAAGACAAGTACGGAGTCTAGTCGTACTTTAGCCGTACTTAAGTACGGCTAAACTTCTTGGCTAGCCGTGCTTAAGTACGGCTAGACTGTCTGGCTAGCCGTACTTTATGGCTGCATTGCACATGAAATTTTTACTTTGCAAAGCCTAAAGTATTCGTATTTCAGACAAGGCCACCTCTATTCTCACCCCGGGTGAGAATAGCGCAGGCGAGTCTTTTGGCTATTCTCACCCGGCGGGCGTTCACCGTTATAGCCTAGGCCAACCAGTGAAGCGTTAACTCTGAACCACAAAATTCTACACTGTGATAACAGAATTGTAGAATTCTGTGCCGTGAACAAACGTTCTAGATCTATTACTACTGTTAATGTTAGCCTAAAAGCGTGCAATTTTGTCTGTGGGCAGTGGAGAGAGAAAGAGAGAGAGAGAGGAGTAGTGCGAGAACTTCCGGGCAAAACAAAATGGCGACCGGCGTAGTTCGGCTTGATTCGGAAAGTTAAATAGCAGTAGCATCTTTGTCGACGACCAAATTAATTTAGTTTTGTTTTTTAACATCATTTTTTAACTTAGTTTTGGTCAATTTGATCGTCCACACCGATAGACAGTATTCAGAAAGAGACAGAGAGAGAGAGAGGGGAGGAGTAGATCTTGCGAGAACTTCCGGGCAAAACAAAATGGCGACACGCGTAGTTCGGCTTGATTCAAAAAGTGAAATAGCCATAGCATCTTTGAAGACGTTCAAATTAGCTTACTTTTGAGCTATAACGTAATTTTTTCTTAGCTTTTATTAATTTGATCATCCACACCGATAGACAGTATTCCGAAATGAGGAAAAACAGGTCTTGTTTCACACCGGGTGAGAATAGCCTACACTGGCAAGTCTCACCCGGGGTGAGATGTAGATCGTATTTTTATTCTCACCCCGGGTAAGGATAGCCACTTCCTTCAGACTCAGACAAAACCAAAAGGTGCCTTACCGACTTGCATTATTTAAACCTGAATAACTTCTAGATAGATCTAGATCTAATGAGACCTGTGTACAAAACAGGTTCGAGTGGATAGGGCCAAACCTAGATCTAAGTACGGCTAGACTGGTAGTCTAGCCGTGCCGTACTTTCTAGACTCTCAGACACAGGCTAGCCGTACTGGCGCTACTTGGATATGGTGGTCCCGACTTTTGTGACAGTGAAATATAACCTAGAGAAAATCTAGAACGATTACTTCTACTTCTGGTTCTAAGTCTAATTCTTAACGATTACTTTTTGATTCGCGTGCCAGAGAGATAGATTCTAGCCTTTCAAATCTAATTGCAAAAAACATCAAATCATGGTCAAATTCAGAGATGGCCCCCTGAAACACCCCATGTTTTGTTCTTTTTTAAGTCAGGGGGGCAACCCCGGTTGCTTTGTGAAAAACAAGTGAAATTTTACTGCTCATTTTGTAGGCTAGATTTAGAATCTAGGCTACTGATAAAACATAAAACATTGATACCGACTATTTGAATCAGTATCGATATTTCAGTTGCCTACACTACACAAAAGTCGGGACCACCATACAGACATGCCGTTAATCTTAGAAATGACGCATCTTTCTGATTGGCTGCTTATTTTAGTAATGTGATGTCATCACTTCCTGGGATACCCAAACATGGAACGTTGTGTTTTCGGTAACATTTCGGATTTTCTAGATCTAGATCTAA